TTTTTCTTTTGCAAACTGGTATATGTATTGGGTTATCTCTTTGGTCAGGATTCCCTTCACTATATAGTTTCTTATGCTCTCTAAGTTTGTAATTAATGGCATTTTTGGTTTTGAGTCTTCTTTCTTTTTTCCTTTGTTTTGGTTTCTTTGACATGCTTCTATTTCTTCTTTTATTATCTTTTTATATTTATCTATTATTTTGTATTGCCAATGTTTGTGCATCAAGTACTCTAGGCTTTTTTTTTCTTTACATCCTAGACATTTGTTTAATTTGTAGATATCTGGTCATTTTTTTGCTAACCTATCCAGTATAGGGAGTTTGCTATTTAATAATCTGTACCTGATTCTTCTATATGTGTGGTCTTCTTGGTTTGTATGCATTTTAGTTATTTTAGATTAGTGTTGTGCTTTCCAGGTAAAGTGCCAGTCTATTTGTAGCTCATTTCTGTATTCAATCCATACTTTGTTTCTTTTTTGTATTATCCAGTTTGTCATCTATTTGGTGTTTTGCATGTTTTTCAAGAATTCTTAGATGTTTGTGTCTAGCTGATATTCTTTACAATTTAGTGTTTTCCATGCTGCTATTCTTGAATTGGTTGTTATATTGTTTTATCTCCTCTGTTCACTCTTTCTTTTATTAATTTATCTGCTTCTTCATTGTTCTCTTCTCCCTAATACATTTTGATTTTAATAAATGTTGTTTGTCCTTGTTTTTCTTTGATAATTCTTTTAATTAAAGTTTTTGTTATCCAGTTTGCACTTTTGTAAATTTGGTAGCTTCTTTTGTCTTCTTTTTGAATCCCTTGAATGGTTGCCTGGCTGTCTGTATATATCTCAACTTCTGCTTATGCTGGGATTGTGACCAACATGGTTAGAATTGTCATCAATTCTTCTCTCGTTAATAATGGAAAATATTCTGTACATTCTGAGTATATAACTTTCTCTCCTGTTTTTTGATTGGTTATGTGCCATCCCATTCTTATCTTGGTTTGATTGGTTGTTTCCTGAACCATTAAGCTATCTGTATATGCTTTTATTCTTCTTAAGCTTTCTGTTTGTTTAGTTATTTTGACTAATTTTTCTTTGTTTGGGCTGCTGGTTTGTAGATATTTTGTAATTTTGTTTTCCACTAATTACGACACTGATTCTGGTTTGTGTTTTGTTCTTTGGATTTTGTATATTGTGCATTATTGTGCCTGGTGTAAGGATGGGTCCCTAAACTATTTAGCATATAAAATTTCGCAGATCAATTATGTCTCTTTTGAAGGGACATAATTATTTATTCATTACTTTAATAGGGACATAATTCAAAAAACACTTGGATCAAGTGTCCTAAATTGCAAAAAACCTTTGTAGATAGTTTTTTTTTAATCTTATATTTAAAAAAAAACTTTTTTAATAGTGAGGGACATTTGAATTATGTTCTCGTCTTTAATTTAGGGACCCATCTTTAGCCTGGTGATGTTTGTATTTTGTCCAGGTGTCCTAAGATTTGACTGTGGAGCTTTGCACCATGTATGGTTTTAGTTACAGGAATAATTATTGCTTGATTTATTTTGATTTCTCTGATACACTCCTTTCTTAATCTTATTTTATAATATTATTGAATAATAATATTTATATAAAATATACATAATTTAATTTATTAGAGCTGTTTTATTGAGTGATTCTATAAAACATTATTCAGTTTCAATTCCACTTTTAGTAGTTTTGTAAAATACCATTTGATTTTGACTCTACTGTTAGAATGGCATTCCATAGAACCAGAACAGAACATATGGAGTTACTTTCATCATTATCTGCAGCAATATAATAATATAATAGTAGTATAAAAATTATTTGAATGGTAATAAAATAGTTATAATATAGTTTTTATTTATATTTAGCAATATAAAAATGATTTAGTAATAATATAGTAGCAATATAATAGCAATTTAGTAGTAATTTAATAGCAATTTAATAACAATAAAATACAATAGTATAATAGTTAACATTACTGTAACTGCTTTGTTACTATTATTTAACTATTAAATAATAATTAAATGACAATTAAATAATAATATTTATAAAAATTAGGTAATTTTAGCAATGTATATAATAATAAAAATATTAATATTTTAATTTATTATTAAAAAATCAAATCTTCAAAAATTAATAATAAAAATTAAAACAATAAAACTCTTTAACTCTTTCTACTGATCTTTTTGCCAACCCAAAAAACAGACATTCTCAAAAGACTTTTTGTCTTTATGATAATAAAGTCTATACACTTTCCTTAACAATACTGATTCCTTAACCAACAGAGCGAGCAGAAGCTACTACTTGTTTTATTTTTTATTTTCAAAACACTTTTCTTATTTATTTTGACAACTAAATACAAGAAACCTATCTAAAAAGTCTATGGCAAGAATACCTTTCTAGGAAGAAAACTGATAAGAAAAAATACTCTTTAAAGACTTCCAAAAGATTCAAAAATCTAGAGAAATAGAAACAAAAAGTCTTTAGTCTTTTCATTATCTCTTTGGCTTCCCTTTTTTTTTTTCTCAAGTGTGCTTTCTTTTTTTTGATTTTTTTGAGAAATTTTGCTTATCTCAGTTTGATCCTGGATTTTTGGTTATACCAGATCTTTTAAAAGATGATTGGTCAAGGCCACGGATTGGTTAATTATGTTAGCCTCAAAAAAAGTAAACAAGACATGTACTCCTCACGTGTTCCTAGTTGCGTAACACCAAACTGATAATATGATTGGTTCCTGAAAGAGTTGGATGGTTTTTGATTGAAGAAGTAGTATAGGAGTCTTAGGTAAAGTAAAAGTTATAAGTAGAAGAGAAGCAATTCTTTTTGTTCCTATCCTTTTATTTTTTTTTTCTTCCCTATTCTTTCTTGAGAATAGGAAGTAGCAACAAGATCTAGGTTCTATCACAATCTGGTAACAAGTTGAGATACTGATATTTATCTTAAAAATGTTTAAAGAAAGGAATTTTGAAACTATTTACTAGTTGAATAAAACAATAATTTCAAAAGATATGGCTTGAGAATAGGGTTCCTAATGATACCATTTCGGTACCAAATCAGTATTGAATTTACTATGAATTTAATATAGTGAGTTACAACTTATATATTAACTTTATTATAAGTCGATACCAAGTCAGTATCATTTTGATACTATTTCGATACTCAGTTCAGAACCTTACTTGGAAGAGTAATTAACAATAGAAAACCAATATCCTTTTTGATTAGAAGTCTTTAAATATAAAGTTTCAAGAAATATTCTCTTGGAAGTACTCTTAAATGTTCTTGAATATCGATTACTTCAATGGAAATTAAACAATTTGTCTGGTCACAAGTGATAAGAAGTGGGATACCATGAGAGGCTTGGATTTTAAGTTCATTAAAATAATCTTTTCAATGATAGTTAGAATAGATGATAGTTTTTTTTTTCTTTTCTCTTTGTTAAAAAATTTTCTTTTTTATTTCTTTTCTTCCTTGTATAGTTTTTACAAGAGAAGATGATATAATTTGGATTTATGGTTATGACTGTAGATGTGATTTGTAGGTTTTGATCCTATCGGAAGTTCAAGATTATAATTTTATTCTTTAGGAAAACAATATATCACTCCCATAAATTGTATCTAGAGACTTTGGCTATTGATGAGTAAGTTGGGTCAAGAAAATTTGTACTTTGCATATATTCTCGTATGTGTAATGGTTCTTTGTGATTTAATAAATAAACAATACCAACCTGATTGTGAGATTAAAAAAAAAAAATAACAAAAATTAAAACTCAAAATAAAATTAATTACATAATTATCAATATTATATAATTTGAAATTAAGGATTTTAATTTTAGGATAATAGATATATATTTTAAATTTTTAATTTATTTTCAAAAATAATTATCTATATTATAAAAAATATAGTTTAAAATATTTTCAATTAACTTTATTAAATAAAAAAATCAAAATTTTATTGAAAAAATTTTAATATAAAAAATTATGTAAAATTTAATTAATATATGTTTAAAATAAAAAAATTATTTTACTTTTAATACAAGTTAAAATTTTTATAATTAAATTATTAAAATTATAATAATTAAAGTTATTCTTTATATATAATTCTATATAACTAATTGCTTATGAATTATATGGACTTAAAAATTTTAAGTTTGTTTAAAACCAATTTTTATTAAATAAATAAAAAATAAATATTATCAATAGACAATATATAATTAAAATTAATATAAATTTTTTAAAAAATATTTTAATTATTTAAAAAATAAATGAAAAATAACTTTTTAGTTAAAAAATTTTAAATGTTATAAAAAAAATATCATATAATTTAATGAATAACAAAATTGATTGAAGAGGTTTCTGATTTAACAACAATAACAAAAAATTATTAATTATCTTTTTTAAGCAAATAAAAAATAGAATATTTAAAACCAAACTTATATATAATAAATTATTAACTATAGACAATCTAGTTAAACATAATATTCAAGAAATATTAACAAACACCAAATATGTCTTTTGTCACATACACGAAGAAACAATAGATCACCTAATAACTTGTAAAAAACTTCAAAAAAAAAAAAAACAAGATATAAATAGACACTCTTAATAAACTCTATATATTATAAATCACAAAGTATATTGATAAAAATAAGAAAAAATAAAATAAAATCTAGCACCAATTTATAAAATAAATAATATAAATTATTGTATATTCTGGAAGTTATATGTTATACACTTAAATAATTTAATATTCTCTTGAATATAATAAAAGGCAATTAAAATAATGCATAAATATGTATGTTTTTTGCAGATCTTTTATATGTAAAGAGTACATGTGATAAATCTTTAATAATAGTAAATACTAATTAAATCGAGCATAAATCGTGTATATTTTCATTCATAAAAACTTTTATGTAAAAACTCAAATAAATAATGTAAGTCATCAACATAAGTAATTACTTACCTTGAATTATTATCATCTAAACGTTACATTTCTTCAAAATCCTCTTCAGGATAATCACCTACTTTAACTTTATTTGGTCTGACAAAAGCACCATATTTATCGGGACACGAAAAATATCTTTCACCTTGAACACTGTCATAAGTTAATTGCTGTAATTTAATAAAGGAGGAAATAAAAAATAACGTTGGCCAAAAATTACTTACAGTCCATCATGTTTTCCAATTGGTTCATCATACTGAATACCAATCCAATAACCTGGCTTGAACTTTGTTTCTCCTTCGATAGTGTGTATTTCTCGGGATCAACCCATGATCAATGTTGTGATAGCTAAGAGAAATAAGGTAGATTGTTTCTTACCAACATATTTTACGATTCCACGTTTTTTTAGACCTTCACTTCCATCACCAAAATCGACTTCACAGCGATCACCCGTTTTAATATTTTTCGCTTCTTCTTCGAATGTATAAGTTGATTCTGAAGTGGAAGAACTGTCATTCCCGAATCTTCCTAGTTTATTGCGTTGTTTGAAGGCGAGGACCGAATCTATTTGGTCAATCCCAAGATATAATACAGTGAGTTTGGTTGGAGAGCAAATTGATAACTGAATGAATTGTAGTTTACCTGTGCGTTTCGCATAATCTTCCTCGGGCATTTCATACTTTTCCACGAGGGACAGGTCGTTGTATTGATTCCGAAGGTTAGCCGGACTGGTGTCTATGACCTAAGATATCGATCGTAAGATATGAGTATGTTGCTTGAACCAGAATTTCGAACTTACAAACCTTTAGCGTCATAAGGTTATCTACAGGAAAGGCACCGAACATGTAATCGTCCCCTTCAACGGAGGCAACTAATGTATCCCCATTGTATAGTTGCAGTAGTTGAGAATCAACTGGTATGCCAGTGATGGTTTCGAGTTTTCCCTAGATCCAAAAAAATTGAAACTTGTTATACTTTTTTTTATAATCTTTTATTGTTGGGGAAAGAAAAAAGGAATACTTTTAATTGTCTAATGCTTAAACTTTTATCGAATCTTCTTTCCGAAGACGCGTTATCACTGTGCACAAATATCGTTACGATAGACATGCCTGTTTACAATGAAAAAAAAAGCTATTTATTAAGATTGGTATAAATAGTCATGCTACATTTCATCCCAAAAATGCAATGTATGCGTGGAGTATGTGATTTTCCGATACATGTAAAAACTGACGTTTTTGGTTGTCATAGTGTTGCCATACATGAACTCCGAATATTGGGTCCAACTGCAGCATCATTATTGGTACCGGCAATAAATTATTATTATAGTACGTTGTTTTCACCTTACGTATTATTATTAAATTTTCTTTTATCAATTTAAAGAATCAACACTCAGTCATACGTCTTACAGACTTCTTTTCTCTCTTTAAGAGCTCAGTAACTTAGATTGACAGCACATTCACTCAATTTCAATGGCAGCCGAAAGCGCTTCATCACGTCAGTCATCTGATTCCAAACAAGATGGCAGATCAGGTCAAGATTCCGATAAAAAAGAAGACAACAAACCTGCACATGAGGAAGGGTAAAGTATTTCATTTTTGCGTTTTTTTTTTTTTGGTTTTTTTTTGCTCTTTGTTTTTCCCACTCTGCTTCTCTCCTTTTTGGAATCATTGCTTGTGAAATGTTTCTTTGCTACTTTCCTTTCTCCCGAGACAATCCCGCTTGCTCTTCGATCCAAAAGACGTGCACGCTCTTAAAAGACCCCACGGAGCTGGACCCTGTGGAAGAAGAAAATTGGCGGAAACTTCTAATAGTCACGTTTTTTTTTATGTAGACTAAACGAGTTATGTTTTATTATTATTATCCTTGATGGACATTTAATGATAAAGTAATTTTGGGAAAGGAACTAAATTTAAGAAAAAGAAAGAAAAAAAAAATAATTGTATTTAGCAAGCAAAGAGAGAGAGGGGTAAAACAGAGAGTTTTCGATAAAGAAAAATCAGAATTTTCAGAGTTAGGTTTAATTTTTCTATCTTTAGTATTGCAGTAAAATAAAACTAATAGGTTTCTCTTTTTTTCCATATTCCCTTTACACTTTCTTTAATTTACTACTATACTATATAAATCGAATCATCTATCTATCTACTGTATTCCTTTACCATAATCGTTACACATTGAATACTGTAGAAAGATGTTCATAGGAGGTCTTAATTGGGAAACCACCGATGGTAAGAGAGTGTTTTAGCAACATAGCTTTTTTCGTTGTAAATTACGTTATTTGTTATTTTTTTTGGTCCCTCTCTTCTCTCTCTCCGTATATAATATACAATATATATAATATCTGTTGAAACACAGTACGATGCATCCGTCGTTAGACTCCTCTTGAATTATTATTTTTCTGTATTTTAAAGAGGCAAATATTATAATTAAAAAGAATATATATATATATATATATATATTAAAGAGAGAAGAAAATTGAATAATTTTATTTCTATTCTACTTATCTTATTTCTATCATCGTGTTCATAAAGTTGAATGAATGGGATGAATTTATTTTTGTTATGATGTTGCATCCCATTCCGTGATTCTTTCAACGATGTTTCGAGATAATGTCGTTCATAAACATCATTATGCAACAAGCCATATCATTCTTTATTTTTCATTTACCGTCAAAATGATTTACGAATAAAATGTTCTTTTTTATAGAGAGCCTTAAAAATTACTTTTCACAATTCGGTGAAGTCACGGATTGCATAGTCATGAGAGATCCAAGTACCTCAAGATCTCGTGGGTTTGGTTTTCTAACATTTGTGGATCCATCCGTCGTCAATACTGTATTGGTCAAGGAACATCATTTGGATGGCAAAATTGTAAGTTATAAGGGAAAATATGATCGAACAAAAAATAAGACTCACATTAATCATAGCAATAACAATAACGAGGATAAACCTTTTGGAATCACTCATTCTCCTTTCAATCACACAACTGGAGATTATTTTATTAACGATTTCATTAACGTTCGCGTTATCATCGGTTTTCTTTTACTGATGATCTTCAAATATGTACACAGATTGATCCAAAACGTGCCATTCCTCGTGAGGAACAGGAAAAGACCGAAAAAATCTTTGTTGGCGGTATTGCTCCTGAAGTCTCCGAAGAAGAATTCAAAGAATATTTCTCCCAATTCGGTCATGTCATAGATGCTACATTAATGGTCGATCGTGATTCTGGGAGGCCCCGTGGTTTTGGCTTTATCACTTTTGATTCATCCGAACCGGTTGAAAAAGCTATGAGTCGTAATGATTTAGAGATCAATAACAAACAGGTAATGTTTCACTAATCAGTTCTCTCATGTGGAAAAGGATATTTATGTGCTTATCTCTCGATTAATTTATATTTATTTTCAATGACCTTAATTTAATGCCTAGATTGAAGTAAAACGCGCGATGCCTAAACATAAATCACAACGTGTGCAAACAATGTACAGTCATCAGAGTTACGGATCGTCATCTTCAACAAACGCGTCACCTGGAATTATGTCATCACCGACGAGTTCAGCTAATAGCAGGTACGGGTCTCCTTACGCCGTTACCGGTGGTACCAAGGATGGAAACTCAAGTGTTGGAAATTATAACCCTAGTTCATATCCTAGTTACGGCGGATACGGACAATATTCCGGTTACAATTACCCAAGTAGCTATCCCAGCGGGTACGCTCAGTACAATGCAATGACGCACGCTTATTATTCCTCGAGGTAAGTCAATAGAAGATACGCAATACATATGGATTTATAGACGGATAAATGAATGTCAACGTGTTGAACTCTGATTATGATGACTTAGATATGGCAATTACAGCAGCCAATACGGAGGAAGTGGGTACGGGTCTGGTCGTGGGGGTTCTTATAGCCAATGGTATGCAAGAGAAGGTGGTTACGGCTCTGGTGGTCCATCCTCTGCTGGCAGCGCTTCGGCTCTAGGTGGTCCAAGTTCCAGCAGTCGTATGGGCGGCGGTTATCGTCACTCCCCTGGTCGCGATGATGGTTACAGTGGTAGAGATCATCATCATCACCATCCTCCTCCCATTTATGGTCGCGGTGGTAGTTCACGCAGTGGACCTACTCGGTCATCTTATTCAAATTCAATGAACGCAAGTGGTGCTGGTGGTGCCATGTATAGCAGCCACCAGGCTCGAGGACAACATAATTATCATCCTTACACCCGGTAAAATTACATGTGAGCAGCATAATATTTGAAATAAACTTGCAGGATCAAAATGTTCTACTTTATTCTTTATTTGCTTTGAGATTAAACTGAAGAGAGTCACTCCTTTGGTACTATCTGTACTGGATTCAACAATTTACCCTACTATCAATCACTTCTAGGGAATGTAAAGTTGGCTAATTTTTATTAAATAGAGTTTGTTATATGTTCTATGTTTTAAACGAAAAAATTCGGTCAACATGCCATTACCTCACTATTTTATTTCTTTTTATTATTATTTTTTTTTTTTCCTTATTCAAGAACAAATAGAAAAAATATATTCATAATCTGTTTTAGTATTTCTTAGTTGGGATAACGAAAGTAGTTTCCTGATTGTCTTAGTTTTTTTTTTTGAATATCAAATATATATAATAATACTACATGTTATTAGTACAAGACTATTATACTTTTAAATTGATAAGAAAAACCTCATAAATATATAAATTAAAATATGACACATTCATACAATCTTAATTTTTCATGTTAGCACTTTTTTTGAGTAACTTATAACCTGTATATAAAATCTTTTTATTTCTTTCTGTACATTCCATTTGTCGAGAGAACAAAAGAAATGATAATAAAATGATAATAACAATTGAATAATAACCGATTCTCCAGAAAAAAAAAAAACAATAATAAAATAAAATATCTAATGAGCCTATCTTAATAACCCCAAATTCCTAACAAATAAGAATATATGACATGCATACTAATACAGCAAGAAAGAATATAAAATTAAAATGACAAAGAATATAATTATATAAACTGGCGGATTAACAGAATCGAAAATACCAATCATTGTCTCTTAATGATTTCTCCCTTTTTTTTTTACGACTCCGAACTTTCTAGTAGGCCATCCACTCTTTCGATCACCTGTAATAGTAATAACAATAATTAGCAAAGGCACATGGTGTCATTAAACTCCAAGGAAGAGAATGAAGAACAAACGATACCTGGTCGATATCAGGCCGTTGCTTAGGATCGACTTTTAGCATGAAACTAATTAAATCTCTAAATTCTTGAGAGTATCTGCAAGAACGGTTAAAATAAATAAATGCATATGGTAAACAAATGATGTGGTAATTTAATTCCCATTTTTCTCGTACCTATCTTGCTCGGGAAACTTGAATTGATTACTAAGAACGGCTAGTCTTATCGATCCCCCTTGCTCGCTGAGGCTGTTCTCGAAAGGTGATTTTCCGTAAGCCATCGCATACAGAGTACACCCCAATGACTTGACATAAGAACCGACAGATTAATCGATGGGCAAAAAAAAAAAAAAGAAAAAAAAAAGCGATCACTCTGTATTAAATTCCTACCCAAATATCAACTTTTTCGTTTAGCTCTGTATTAGTGTTGACATCGAGTAATTCGGGAGCACGATAAGGCATGGTTGAATGTTCCGATGCTAAATCTTGTTGCATCAACGCTTGGTTGCGATTCTCAATCTTTATTCGTGCTCGAATTAGAGAGCCAAAATCCATCAGAATGGGGGTTTGCATGTCATCGGATAATAAAACGTTACTACATAAATAAATCTTTTAAAAATATGAATCAACTTCAAATCATGCATCACATACAATAAACATACCCAGGTTTGATATCCCTATGCGCAAATGGCACAATATCATCATCGTTTTGTGTGGCTTGGACAAGTATACTGTTTTCGGTGACGGTTCCATTCGGAAGCTTATGGTTACCATCAGCGTTTTCCGACCTCTTCGGGACACACGGAAATCTATATTTATGAAGAATTTGAACGGCGCTACAAATTCCTCGGAATACTTTGAGCATGTTCTTCTCTTCAAAATGAGACTCGTGCACCAAATTGTTATTTATTGCGTCTTGAAGATTTCCACTCTAATTTAGGTCATAAATGTTAATAGGACATGAAGGATTCAAACACCAACTGTATGATGGATGCATGTGTCATAACCAACCAACCTTGTAATATGGAAGAAAAATATAAACTATTTTGCCACCGTCTTTATCTTGCACAACGCAAGTGTCCTAATATCATTCATCAAACGTGAATCTAACATGAGGCTTAATTAATACGAGTGAATTTAAAAAATTGAAAAAATCAAAAATTACTTACGATAACTTTGATAATATTCTCATGCTGGAATAGCTTGTACATCTCAACTTCTTTCATCGCATTCTTTACCGAATCACTTCCGATAGGACATCGAATCTTTTTAAGGGCATAGAAGCGACCAGTGCTGGCATCCTGCACCAGATAAACGAAGGAAAAGCCCCTTTTTAGAATCGGTACGTAAGAACAAAATATTCGTTAAAACTAGACGAATATCAAAATTCCGATTTTAATTAGAATAAAATATTTACCCCTCAGCAAGCAATTTGATCACTTTGAAAGTTCGGCGATTTATGTGAATTATCGGATTTGGGAAACAGCAGGAGGTAACCGCATATAGGGTGTCCCGCACAGAGTTCAAAATGGATGACATTTTTCAGGTAACCTTTTGTTTGTTTGAGTTCTGATTGTTAAAGTTTACTATCTTGGTAGTCTTTTTTTTTTTTTAACTCGATTCAATTGCGGATACCATCGTCTGCTCACATAAAATCACGATCACATCCCCCGTGGAGGAACTGGGTTATTTTATATAGACAACTACATATCTATTTAGATCGGCGTACCATAAAAAATTTTTTTTGGTAAAGTTATATCGATATATTGTTTAACTACTATGAATTTGTTATTATTAGCGCCAGTATTATTTATTATTTAAGTCAATTAGCTAATCATTTTTATGTTCATTGCTAAATTAAATTTTTGTAAAACGGTGATGGAAAACGATTGGCTTGTATAATGGGTAGTATCGAGATTCTGTAAACTTACGTGGCATCATAAATTGGCTTTTTTACGAATGGGTGATGGCTTTGATTTTCTTCGAAGTTACCCGTTCAACTACTCCAACATATAACAAATTCTCAAAACTGTGGTGACGAACAAACATAAAAAACATTAAAATGGTGCGACTAGCAGTCTATGGGGGGGTCAGCACTTTCTTATCCCTGTCGATCGTTGCGGCGGCGTTCCGTCAAAGGAGCAACTTCTATGCGGCCTGCATTTACTTATCGAAATCCAGCGCTTGCATGATGGTATGCAGTGGCCTTTATTTAACATCGTGTACGTTCGTAAATGAAGAAATAGTTAAGAAAACGTTATTGCACCTTAAGTCTCAGATAACTGGCCCTACGTAGATCGCTAGAATCAAGCTCTGTAGATCACATTTTAACCTGCCTTCCTAACTTATTTGTTCATCACAGATCCTCATGAATATGGGATTCTTTCTCACCATTATATTCGGGCAATTACTTCAAACCATATTTTTCGGACGTTTGCGCGCTGTTGAAATAGAGGTACCCTTACTTTTCACTAGTTACTTGTAAAATTTCATGATGCTCACAGATAATCAATTCTTCAAGCATTTATATGAGAGGTCTTGGTATGCAGTAACGGAAACATGCTTGGCCATGACCATCTTCCGGGATGAGTTTGATACTAGATTTGTTGTGACATTTACTACCTTATTGTTCTTGAAAATCTTTCATTGGTTGTGTCAGGATCGAGTAGAATTCGTAAGCAACGATATTATCTAATTGAATCATTGTATCTTCACTGGCTCACATATAATTTCTCTTTTCGAATTCAGATGGAGCAGTCGCCGGCTGTTCCGATATCGTTCCACGTGCGAATGGTTTCGCTGATGGAAATATTGTGTGTTGTAGATGCCATCCTTGTTCATAATGCCGTCGATTCAATCATGAAAGTTGGTCCAAATATGATGATCATGTTTGCATTCGAAGTCAGTTCACGGACTTTATTATCTTCATTTAAACCTCTATTATATAAACTCTAATCTTGACCATCCAATGATTACTTCAGTATTCTATTCTAGGAGCTACCATAATATCTACCATATCCAAATATATTTTGAATATTATTGATATGAGACGAGAGGAGCCGTGGGAAAATAAGTCCATCTACGTCTTTTACTTGGAACTCGTGACCGGTAATGATTTTATTCTCATTTACACATGTAACATTCTTATGACTGATCTAATTTGACATCAATCCCTTTATATATTGAATCTTGCGATTATAGATTTCTTTAAGTTGATTACCTATCTGATATTTTTTGCGATAATACTTATGTATTATGGAATACCTCTACATATAATACGTGACGTTTACGTTACACTTCGATCTTTTCTTCAAAAATGTGGTGATCTTGTTCGATATCGTCGTGCCACAAGGAATATGAACGAGCGTTACCCGAATGCAACCAACGAAGAACTCGAACGACTGAGTGATCGAACATGTATCATCTGTCGAGAAGAGATGATAGCTGCCAATATAAATAATAATGATAATATTGTACTTGAGGATATTGCTGGAGGTAGGCCGCAACATGCTAGACAAGGAAATAATAATGGTTTAGGTGATGTTCCAAAGAGGTTACCTTGTGGACATATCTTTCACTTTCATTGCTTGCGCAGTTGGTTGGAGAGACAACAGAGCTGCCCTACGTGGTAAGAATAATTTATCTTCGATGATAGATACGTTTCGTACGTACTCCGTAATTTAAAACTTTAATTTTTATTCGCTTCGAAGTCGAAGACCCGTCTTGTCAGAACGTAAGTATGTGTAATTATTGATAATTGACCCTTATTATTGAAATTTAATTTTGACTTAATTTTTAACCGAAAAAAAGAACAAGCGACTCAACCTCAACAACAAGCGCGTCCTGTGCCGGCTCAACGTAATGTTCAACAGCAACCTCAGCCTCAACCTCAACTACCTGGAATTCCTTTTGTTAACCCACCAGGTTTCATAGCAAATCCAATTCCAGGATTTCCGGCTGTAACAATATTTCCTCCTCCGGGGATGCAAGGCCCATGGCCTGTTCCTCCGAATCCGCATGCAAACTTGAACGAACGTAATGTAGAAGATCAGGCAAACCCATTAGCGAACCAAAATACACAACAATCCACTCATCAGGATTCTTCACAAAATAACTCTGGAGATCGAACATCAAATGAGGTTATTATGAGCATGCTTATTATCAATTTTACAAGAACATTCTCTTTACTAATTATTGGTTTAATTAAATACAGGATGAAGCTGCCAATGCATCACATTCACAACCCCCCACAAATTCATCTTCGTCCACGTTACCCAGATGGCCCTGGGATCAAAACAACACAGCATCTAGAATATTTTCTTCAGTGCAACAATCTATAGGTCATCAACCGCATATTTCACAATTCCCTGGTCATGTCCCACCCGGGTTAATACCACTTTTCCCCATTCTGCCTATGCGAAGTAATGGTAATACGAATGCAGGTGGCAATGCTACTTCATCATCACTAAGTAATTTATCGGAAGAACAAATTCGTCTTCTGGAAACTACTTCACGGGAAGCACTTTCGGAAAGAATTCGAATATTACAAGATACTCAAGGACAAATTTATAATATTATCAGTACACTGACTCAGACCTTGAGTGTGCTCCCTCAGATTCCTGCAGCCGAGATACCTGCAGTGTCAACAGATGCAAATGCCTCTACGTCGAATGTCGATGTTGGTATCGAGAGTGTGAATAACATTAACTCTAGTGAGAACTCTTTAAATAATCAAAAAACCGATGACGCGAAAAATAAAAAAGGAAAAGGAAAGAGTGTAACCGTGACGGAAGTCGATGAAAGTTTTGATCGCTGGGAACAAACAAATGATTCTCTGGAGTGATGATTGGTTTTTGGTAGAAAATAATATGTTTGAAATCCTGATTCATTTATACACAACCTACATCGGATAGAAATGATATTATTTTTTTGTTGCTTCTTAAAAAAAGTTACACATTTTAACACTAATAAATTAAGACTTTTTGACAAGGCACTATTATTAGGCGATCATCAGTTTTAATTTCATATCTACGTTCAGAACGTGTTTCATTTTATATTTTTTTTACTGTTCCCTATGTGATTGCATGTTTCTGCAAATTTAAATTTGATTAGGTATATTAATTAAACATGCCTTTGGTTTGGCGGCTAACTCATCCGGCTTAATTTCCTGGTACAATTTGCACGCCAAACAAACTATAAATAAATATTATTTACTAACATAAAATATTTAGATATGTAAAACTTGATTTTTTATTTAAAAATATTTAATTTGAAAAAATATTTAATTTTTGTTATACACAGTATAGTGCAAAAAAAACAATAATTTTTTTACAATAATTGTTTTTATAATTTAATATTTTATTAATATATTTTTGAATATAATAAAAAAACCCAATTAAATAATTTTAAAATAATAAATAATAATAATTTTTTTTTTTTTATGGTTTGTTTTAAAGTTAAAAACATAATTAAATTTAGTTTAAAAATAAGATTTTTTAAAAAATAGTAAAAAATTTTTGTTATTATAAAATTTAATTATTTTTAAAAAATTCAATATATTAATTTTTTTTTTTTAATTGGTCAAGGGTATTAGATGCAAGGTTTTTATTGATAATTAATATCACTTCCATTATATTAAACATCTTTATAAAGTAGATTAAAATTCAATATATTAATTAAAAACATGTTATATAAAGTAATTTATAAAATATTTAACTATATATTTATAAATATTTAATAAATATTTATTTATTGTATTATAGATAAAAATATAATAGTTATTTTTTTTTACAATATACAATATATTAAAATTTATTATTATTTTTTTTTTATTATGAACAAGCATTAAATATAAGACTTTATTTAAATAAAAATATTTATTGTTATTATATTAACAATCTTTACATAGTAAATTAATTGTAGCCTATTGCAACAAAACTATTAAGACCAAGTATTAACAATATATTAAATTTATTGAATTTTTGTTATATATACAGTATATATAATATAAAACAAAAATTTTTGAAATTTTATTTATATGATATAAATATAAATAATTTATATAAAATTTTAAATATAAAACCTATGGATTCATGACATAGTGGTAATGCCCCATAGGTCATTAGAAGAAGATCTAGAATTCAAACCCATCTGGTTATAAAAAATTTATCACCTTCATGATTGGTTAACTGGCTCCTAATTCATATCATATTCAATCAGCCAACAATCCATTTTCAAATTTAACTAGACTACATGAAGATAGGATCTCTGGTTTTCCTGACGATCGCGGGCTGAAAACAGGTCAAATCAAGGAAGGTTACACAAGGAAAGGCTTCTGGTTTAACTTTGGTATAAGTCTACAACTTTAACCAAAACTGGTGACGGCAGACTCCGTCACACAAAGAACATCCTAGCCTGGGGCTATCCCAATTCAGCACTTGCTTAAAAGAAGGTTATATCTCAAATAAGGTACTTGGTATAATCGAAAGCCGCAGGTGGTGACAAAGAGTAATTTACCTTCTTCAAGGTTCTAGAAAAAAAATATATACAGGGATATCTGGGTGTTCCATAACCATATCCCTGAAAGGTAATAATTGTGCCTCTTCTATAACAGATGCAGTCGAGACAGGATCTAGATTAGGTTAGATAGTTTATAAACTAGCGATAGGATTTTCTATTTCCTAAAGATCTCACCCAGGGTGTGGATTCACCTTCAAGGTGTTCAATTGGTATACTGGGTAAGTCTATAGGTGTAGAAGCGAGGTTAACTTAAATGGACCTTAGTGTATCTATAATAGGATATAAATTACTTAATAAAATGCATATGTACAAAGTATCTTTCATCTGAAAAAAAAAATAAAAAAAAATAAAATAAAATTTTAAATATATATATTTGTTATTAAATTTTTAACTTGTTTTCTTTTTTTTATAAACTTATTTTAAGAATAATATTTTTTTGAAAAACATATACAATATCAAATTACAATATATTATATTTATAAAAGAATAAAATTATTTTTGTAAATGAAATATATTTTAAAATTAATATAAATATATTAATTATTACTATAATTTTAAATTTTTAAATTTTAAAAAAAATTCAAAAAAAAAAACATAAATTAATAGTATAGTACCATATATTACTGCATACAATACCCTCCCCCAAATACTACCCCTCATTAATAATACCGGGTAGTATTCAAGAAAACTGTTGCTTGATAATTGATTACTACTGGATATATTAATATAATAATAAGTAAGACAATAATATTTTGAATTTTATAATAATGATATATTCTGTCACTAATACTATCTCTCTCCTAGTAAAATACCCTTCCGGGTATTATATGCAGTAGTATACGGTAGTTAGTACTTCCAGATTCAGATTATAAGATATCAATTTTATTTCATATAAAAATAGTTAAATAGTATTAATATGATATTTAATATCATAATTTATTAAGTATTTTTTTTTTGGGGGGGTATTGTATGCAGTAATATATGGTACTATACTATTAATTTATGTTTTTTTTTTTTAATTTTTTTTAT